ATCATCCAGACAGAAAGGCAACAAGGAAACAGTGGCCTTAAATGAAACACCAGACCCAATGGACTTAATAGATATATGTAGAACACTCCAGTTAAAACAGCAGAATACACAATCTTCTCAAGTGCACATGGAACATTCTCAAAGATAGACCATATGTTGGGAAACAATGCAAGCCTCAATAAATTTAAGGAGAATGAAATCATATCAAGCATCTTTTCCAACCACAATGCTATGAAACTAGAAATCAACTACGAGAAAAAAGCTGGGAAAGTCACAAATATGTGAGGACTAAACAACATGTTACTGAATAACAATTGGATCAATGAAGAAATCAAAGGAGAAATCAAAAAATACCTAGAGACAAATGAAAATGAAAATACCAACTCTGTGGGATGCAGCAAAAGCAGTTCTAAGAGGGAAATTTATAGCAATACAGGCCCACCTCAACAAACAAGAAAAATCTCAAATAAGTAATCTTAAACTACATCTAAAAGAACTAGAAAAAGAAGAACAAACAAAGCCCAAAGTCAGCAGAAGGAGGGAAATAAAAATTAGAGCAGAAATAAATGAAATAGAGACTAAAAAAACAGTAGAAAGGATCAATGAAACTAAGACCTGGTTCTTTGAGAAGATAAACAAAATTGACAAAGCCTTAGCCAGACTCACTAAGAAAAAAAGAGAGAAGGCTCAAATAAATAAAATTAGATACCACAATGGACACGACAGAAATACAAAGGATTATAAGAGAACACTATGAAAAACCATATGCCAACAAATTAGATAACCTAGAAGAAATGGATAAATTCTTAGACTCATACAACCTCCCAAAACTGAATCAAGAGGAGAATCTGAATAGAACAATTCCAAGTAAAGAGATTGAAGCAGTAATCAAAAACCTCCCAAAAAACAAAAGTCCAGGACCAGATGGTTTCTCCAGAGAATTCTATCAAACATTCAAAGAAGATTTAATACCTATCCTTCTCAAACTATTCCAAAAAATTGAAGAAGACAGAACACTTCCTAAGTGATTCCACGAGGCCAACATTATCCTGATACCAAAACCAGACAAGGACAACATAAAGAAGGAAAATTACAGGCCAATATCACTGGTGAACATAGATGCAAAAATCCTCAACAAAATATCGGCAAAGCAAATACAGCAATCCATTAAAAGAATCATACACCATGATCAAGTGGGCTTTATACAAGGGATGCAGGGATGGTTCAACATCTGCAAATCAATCAATGTGACACAACACATTAAGAAAATGAGGAATAAAAATCACATGATCATCTCAATAGATGCAGGGAAAACATTTGACAAGATCCAACATTTATTTATGATAAAAACTCTCAATAAAATGGGTATAGAAGGAAAGTACCTCAACATAATAAAGGCCATATATGACAAACCCAAAGCCAACATCATACTTAACAGTGAAAAACTAAGAGCCATCCCTCTGAGAATAAGAACAGGAAAAGGGTGCCCACTTTCACCACTCCTATTCAACATAGTACTGGCAGTTCCAGCCAGAGCAATTAGGCAAGAAAAAGAAATAAAAGGTATCCAAACTGGAAAGGAAGAAGTAAAACTCTCACTGTTTGTGGACAATATGATTCTATATATAGAAAACCCTAAAGAATCTACCAGAAAACTAATAGAAATAATCAAGAACTACAGGAAAGTTACAGGGTACAAAATCAACTTACAAAAATCAATTTCACATTTCTATACACTAATAACAAACCAGCAGAAAGAGAAGTCAAGAATACAATCCCACATACAATCTCAACAAAAAGAATAAAATATCTAGGACTAAACTTAACCAAGGAGGTGAAAGACCTATACACTGAAAACTATAAGACATTATTGAAAGAAATCGAAGATGACATAAAGAAATGGAAAGATATTCCATGCTCATGGATTGGAAGAATAAACATAGTTAAAATGTCCATATTACCTAAAGTGATCTACAGATTCAATGCAATCTCAATCAGAATCCCAATGACATTCT